GCCTCCGGTGCCTGCAGCCGTGCGCCCTCCGCGCCTCCCTCCTCTCGCCCTGCGTCTCCTGCAGCGGGCCGCCCCCACGGCGCTTTTGCTGATGAACTGGGGAGGCAGGGGGAGAATTTAGGGAGATTTTTGCCTTCTTTTTTTCAGTTCAAACCTGAGCTGCAGGGGAAGGAGAGGAATTTGCCCGCCCGGCTCGCGTGCAGGGGTGACTGGAATGCGCAGGCCCTTACCAAGCCGTTTTCAGAACCTTGATTTAGTCAAGGACTCCTCTCCCCTGTGCTTATTGCGCCTTTCCAGAGCAGGGCCCCAGCCTCTGGCCAGACAGCCCCTTTGCCAGGCCAGCCCCTTCCTCCCTTCTCGGCACGCCTGCCTGCGTGGGACAGTGTGAGCTCGTAACCTGCTCCTGTGAAGAGTGACGCAGCGCTGGGCTGGGATGCCCTTAGCTGGGGCGGGGAGGGGCACCCTGCTTGTCTCCTAGCCTGGAAAGGCAAAACCACTTTGTTCCAAGTCTTTTGCATTTGGTTATCCGTTTGGTGTCCTTGCTTGGCCCAGTGTGAGCCTTGCTGATCACCACATCTTGAGCAGGAAGGAGACTGCAGGTCTCTTTCTCATCCTCTAAGTCCGCACGTTTAAAAGAGCTTTGCTCGAGCACTGTGTGATGCAGGCAGCGGCCCCTTTCCTGCCTGTGTCCCGTGCTCGTCCCGCAGGGCCTGAGGTCACCCAGATGTGCCCTGGCAAGAGCATGTGACACTTGCAGGTGGGCTTCTCTTGAGTTGTGTGCAGGTGCCGGACCTCGTTCGTGTCTTGTCTGTCTCCCTTCAATGAAGGATTCGCACGTCTATAAATGTTGTGTTTTAGAATGCGTGTTTTGTAAGTCAGCGATGCTGAAAGTGGCCTGCCACAAGGAAGTGCTACTTTCTGCTGTAAAATAAATAGGAGTAATAGAAATAAGACATAACTAACAAGGAAATAATAAACATAAGAACAACAGTAAAGTACTGAAATGTTCTTGCTAATTTTGAGCTGAGTGAAGAAGTATAAGGTTATGGAGGGGGAGAAATGACATCTCTCCTGAATAACTTCTGCACCTGCATCGGGACTCCTGACTTCAGTCCTGGATTTGTTATTATTACAAATGAGAAATATTTTAGATTAGCAAGAAAAAAATCAAAGCACCGGTGTGATATATGTAAATGAAAAAATGTTTAAAAGAGTTTACTTGATAACTAAGAGAGAAAATGTGCAGTTCTTTTGATACGTGATGAGACAGGCAATGAAGGCTTGTGTACACGTGTGGTAAATGTTAAGGAAGTAGAACTCCCACTAGCTTACTGGGGACCTTATTTAGGTAGTACAGTGATTATTTTTACTGATAATGTTGCTATCATACGGGAAATACATAAGTAAAAACATTTCTTATGCAGACTTTCTCTACACAGAGATTTTACTGATGCAAGTCTGCAAGAAAAATTATGAACTAACTGAAATAGCTAGCTTGGTACAACAGTGAAGTGTATAGGCCAAAATTTGAAAAAAAAAAAAAATCATAGAGGCTAGGAAATACTGATGTAAATAAAGAAGTAAGTTTTTTTAGAAAGGAATTAGGAGTGGAGATGAAGAAGAAATCTCAAAGCAGGGGAAGTTTTAATGCCATATTTCCTACTGTAGGAAGTAAAAGCAGTAAATCTGTTTATTGAGACTGATCCCAAACATGCAGACTATTTGATCTTTATCACATCTGAGTAATTTTATTTGAGAAGACTCACTTGGAAGCACATGAGAAGTTCTTTTAACTGGATTTTTAGTTGAAAGAGAACTGTATTGCTTTACTTGCTTGATTTGTTCAAATATACCTTGTCTGAATAATGTAAGTTTCTCACGTAGTTCTTGCAGGAAACTATACTGACGTGGAAGCCCTTAGCAAAATAGTCAATTTAGACCATGTAGTTGAAATCTACTAATTGTAGTGATCCTCCCCCATCTCTTTCAGTGATGACAAATTCAGTAGTTTTACAGGATTATTTCATGCAACTTCCTCTTCTCCCTATTTCATTCTAAATTTTTACTAATGCCCTGTTAGCCATCTTCTTCTGTTGAGGCAGCTGAGCTTCTTGAACCTGCAGTTGACTGATCCTGCTTTTATGAGAGGTTGAATGCAAGAATTTGATCTTATTCGAGAAGAAATCTAACAGAATTCCATGCAAGGGCCACAGCTAGTTCTCTTGTCTAAAAAATAAATGCTTTTATAATTCAAACACGTGGGAATAAAATGCATGTACCATGGAAAACAGGCAAGTAATCTAAATCAAACTAAAGTATGTTTCATAGCTACCAAATTTCTGTATAACCATAAGAACCATGGAATTCCTGTTATATATTGTAGACTGAAGTACATATTTTTGTCTTTTTCAGATATCATAACCTTAAGAATGCAGTCGGTTTGTCAGAGAGTTGGCATTTGTTCCTCATGTTTGAAGAGACAACTAAATGGCTTCCAGGGATTAATTAAATGGCAGAGAAAACTGGTTCCTGCTTGTGTCAGAACTATTTACAGTGAGACAGGGAAATGGGAAAAAAGCTATGGGTTGGAGACAAGAAAAAGAGTTGAAAATTGGTGGCTTCCAAGAATAAAGGATCAGTTCTGCAGAATTTCAGAAACTGATGTAAGCATTATGAGAAATTTGGTTTGATATTTTTGTTTTCTCAGAGTGAAATTATCTGAATCTTACTTAGTACAACTGGCTTGTAATGATGAGCTGTATATTACATTTCAGGGGAAAATACTTTTATATGACAGTAGATTATTAAAAACAGTTGATCAAATAGGTGGAAACATAATAATTAAAAAAATCATGAGGAAAAATACAGTGAGAAGCAAAGTATGAAGTTGTAAATTTAGGAGCTGTTTAAGTCATCAAGTCGTTCATGGTATATTATACCACATTTTGGAATTCATTATTTAAAGTATTTAAAGAAACACCTCCATTCGTAACTTTTGTAAACAGTTTTCTGAAGTTCTTGTTCCCGCTGGTTATGACAAATATATTACACTGTGACTCATTAAAATCTATGTTAAGGGAAGGTGATTTTTTAAGAATATTTTCTGATTTACAGTGTCTTAGGAATAATGAGTGACTTGCAGAAAAAAAGTTTTCCCATGCAATAAAAGATCTTGAAAACAACGGTAATCTTGGTCTCTGACTCTTTTTGCCTTCACAATTATGCTCAGTCACATAGGTATAAAAACATTTTTGTGCCCCTTCATGCTTGTTTGTTCTTCTTTCCTAAAAAGTGCCCCCTCTCCAACAAAACATAGATGCTGTCAAAGTGTTGAAGCGAGAAATGGGGCTTGCTTTTTCTGAGGAAGAAAACTGAGATGAAAATGGTGTGCATGCATAGAAGTAGCAGGGAAAGCATTAATTTAGGCTTGTGTTTTTAATATCTGACAATACATGTTTACATAGGTATTGTATATATATCATACATATGCTAAGTTCAAAATTGTATTTTTAATGTTTTTGTTTTATCCTTACAGTTGAAGTAGATTTAATAAAATCTCATATTAAGGGACAAATAGTGTGTAGTGCTGCAGTGAGGTGTTGAGATTCTTTCTAGTTTTGCTATTCCTGGACAAAAATGATAAATAATATTTGATAAATATGAACAGAGTTTTGTTCAGAATAGTGAAAGCTGCCCATAATTTTTTTTCATTATTAACATAAAAAAAAGAATGTAGGAACTTATCAAGCATGTATCAATGATAAATTCAATGGTAATCAAGATGTATTAGGAATATTTTATGCGAGAGAAATATGTGATTTCTTTGCAACTTTAACTAAATGAAATTTTTACTTTCACTACGCAAGATACTGCTTGCAAGGTGTCTTTGGATCTGAGTGTACGTAGCAGAACTGAACAGTTTCACTTCAGTGAATGTTCATGCAGTTGCGAATAATTGAGTTAGTCAGTCAGTGAGTTACTGCAGTTCAGCTGACGAAAAGCAACTGGCCAGGAGTGAGCTCCGTGTTTTTTGTAAATACAAAGTAAAACACTTACTTAAACTGTTAAGGGCATAATTTAATCTGCCGTGTTTTCATTTTTTGGTGGGACATGAGGAGCACATAATCAGTTACAGATGCTACAGTAGAGAATGGTGATTTGTTAAGCTGCAGTTATATTAATGTATCTTCTGCTCAGGAAAAGTTGATTAAAAACGTAATTTTCAAGTGCCATATAAATATAAATTGATGAGATGGCAGCAAATTCTGGTGAAACATTTCCATTTACAGCCCTAAAGTGTTTGGTCTGATGAACTTTGTCTATGCTCACTTGGATCAGTTCCAGCAGAACCTGGTTTCTCTTCATGATACTGTGTAGTTTGTAATACGCGCATGTATTCAAGTGAAATGCTAACTCTATGTAGTTACAACTTTCTAAAAATTTCTTTCTAGAAATCAAGACCAAAATTTTATGTGCTTTCTATGTTCCCATATCCTTCTGGAAAGCTTCACATGGGCCACGTTCGTGTCTACACCATCAGTGATGCAGTAGCTCGGTTCCAGAAAATGAGAGGGATGCAGGTAAGAAAAGATTGGCAGTAGGACTGGGTGTTTTTTTGATGTTTTAATATCATAATTGGTCAGGAAATTAGTGTTTTCCAGAATCCGTGAAGGGGAAGGTTTGGTTGGAATATATGCTACGGATGCATAGGTAATGACCTGTGGAGCTTTGAATATTGAAATTGGAGACCTTTTTTTTTTTTTTAAACAGATGGTGTTCAGAATTCACTGTTGATAAGTTGTTAGAAGCTATCTCGAATGATACAGCTGATGCTGTATCAGCTACCTGAATCTATTGGTGTTTGGCACAGTGTTGATGGGACATGTGGGCCACATCATTTCTATGCGAGGAGACTGAAGACCCTACTGCCATCTGGGTGGGACCATGGGGGAGGAAATGGTGTAGCTGGCAAGAGAAAACGGAGGCACTGCAGATGTCAGCTCCTTTGACCTCCTGAGAACTGGTTGATGTCGTTTGTCAGTCTCAGAGGGACATCCTGCTCCTCTGTGCCAGCTGGGAGGGAAACCCTTTCTCGTGACTGCTACAACTGGGATGAACAGGGTCATATCACACGTCACGTCATGTGGGCGTAACTCAGAAGTTGGGTTCTGTAGTGGCTGACCCCTTGGCTTGCCTGTTTTAGCCTTGCTCCTACGTACGAAACGCTGTCTGCTGAAGGTGCAAGTCTACGAGGTAGGCTAAGACTATCTTGCTGCATCTGCAAGGAGAAATTCCACTTTCCATTCCACATTCGTCTGTTTCCCAGTCCGCCCCATGGCTGCCATCGTTTCTCCCTTGCTCCCTTCCCTCTGTCCGGTAGGTAGGAAGTGTAGCCGAGAGCCACGTCCCTGCAGTCTCCAGGTGCGATCCTAATGGGTGTCCTGCAGTAAAGGCTGGCGGGTAAAATTTGAAGGATGTAAGGAAGGTGTGCGAGAATTGTGGCCGGAGTGACAACTATAGTAAGGAAGAAGACGACATTTGTTAGGGGGAAAATGTGAAGAATCTGGGAAACTGTTGTAAGGAGGAATATGAAAAGAGAATACCCAATTTTGGGGTAGGGAACAAAAGGAAGTAAATAGCGGTAGGCAAGACTCTAGGATGAGACTCAGAAAGGAATTCTCTCTAATGTACGAGAGAGAAGGAACAGCTCAAGAACATAGGAATCAGAACCTTGAAAGATTACAAAGAAGATGAAATGGAGAAATAAATGTTCATTGCTGGTTGTGGTACTAACTGCGATTTCCTTGCTGTAGAAGTGTAGCGTTTCCTGGATTTATCACCATCCATGAGGCTCTTCAAGGTATTGTCACTGAATTATTCAGTGTGCTGCCTTTCCAAATACTATGTATTTTATGCCAATGATGAACATACCGTGCACTGAATATGTGGTGTGGCTTTACAGAAATGCATTCTCATGCTTTTAAAATTATAGGAAAAAGAAGTAACTGCCTTAGACTTTAAATGAGAAAAAACCCCCAATGTCTGTTGTAACACTAATCTTCCTAACTCCTCTGAATGACTAGAATTTAGATCTCACTAAAAAAATTGAGCTAACTAGGCTCTTGAAGGGACTTTTATTCTTGCTTGATGCTAAGTCCACTGGAGATGTCATTTCAGGATATGGTTCATCTCTTGTCAATAACAGTGGCGATATCCACTAAATTTCTGTTCAGAAAGATGAAAACTTACTTCCTCTTGTTCTAACTAAAATAAATTGAAAATAATTGTTTACATCCCGTAGGATGCTGTAGGTGTTAGCTTTTGGATACAAGGGAAGTAAGCACCTTTAGTAGAAACCTTTGGAGAAAATGAGAAGATAATATAATTGCAATAAAATACAAGAGCCACTGTGAAAGCAAGTTTTTATTTCCACGATTGCCTATTTTTTTCCTAGAAAAGTTCTGAAAGTCTTTTAAAAGCTTTTAAGTGTTGCATTTCATCTTACATTTTATGTAAAAATGACTTTGAAGGATATTAGGGTGCCTATAGAACATGCTGAATTTCTATAAATACGTGTGTCTTCTGTTGTGTTAACCACTTTGAACATCTATTTATGACTAAAGGTGGGCAGCTGAAGAATTTAACCTTCAGGTACAATTAAGAGACATTAAAGATCTCTCAGATGATTTTCTGAATATGTCAGCCTAAGAGGTATTGTGTTAGTGGTGTACATTAACTTCCTGGAACTTCTGTTTACCTTAAAAAACCTTTTTCTTTATTAGCCATGTTAATTTCTCCATCACTTAGAATTAAAGTCTTTATAATTTATTTTCTCCTCGCAATTAATTTATCAGCCTCTAGATGTTTTCTCTGACCGTTGTCACAGTTGTATAATCTGTTAAAAATATCTTCATTGTGATGGTTGTAGGCTATGACATGGTTGTGTCTCGTCATACATAAAATTTTATATTTCCAAGGAAAATGTTTTTCCCCTCTATTTGGGGAATTACTAGAATTCTTCAGTGCTTCAGTGCCTAAAAAGAAAGAATACTTTGGAAACAAAAAATATTAGTATGCATAATTTTGAAGTTATTCTGTTAATTCCCCCCCCCTTTTCTGGAAATTCAGCTTTAACGTTGCTTATTTGAAAGTTCAGGGACTGCTAATTTTTCCCAAATCAAAATTCTAAGTAGAAGTGAATACATTTCATGTATTCAAGCCAAGTTTAGGATAAGATTTTTGAGTAGTAGTATTGTTTACACTTTGCTTCCAGCATTTCCAAACTAAAAAAAGAAAGGAAGAGTCACTAAAAATAATCTTGGGAACTATATCTCTACATATAGATGTAGAACTGACCCTGGTTAGCAAGTCATAAAACTGTGCGAGAAGCAGTACAGGTAGGTTGAAAGTGGTTGTAAGGCAGCAAGGAATGATGGGCTGTTACCATGAAAAATACAGGCAAAAACATGCAGACTTACAGTTCCCAATACTACAATGTATATTTGTTGTCTAATAAACATTGAGGGAAAATACATATGGTGGGTACATAGTGGACTAGTATATATGATGGAGTAAGAGAGCAATGTACGTTGAATAAGGTGAAGATATTTTTCTTAGAGAATGCTTTCATGAGAAAATAGTAGATTAATTTCATATTGATTTAACCTGAGCAGGCAAGAATTGGCTTATTTTTTATAATACTTAAGTAAGGATAAGCTTGAATGCCTTTAAACAGAGATTAGAGCTCTTTTAGTAAATTGGAATCACTCTTTGGAATGTATTCGTGTAATTTCTTCATACTGCAGGTATTTCGAAATCTTAAATGGGAAAATGTTAAATCATTTGGATGCTGTTTTTTTGTTTTTCTAAAATGGAACATTAGTATTTTATTTTTCTAGCTGGATAGGATGTGATTTTGTTTCAATTAAAATAGTCTGTAGAGGTAATATGCACTGAAATCTACTGATACTTTCTGGAAACCTGTACTTCACCAGCATTTTAACTGGGAAAATAAATATTCGTTGCTCTTCCCCCCATACACACACTTGTTTTTGTAAGAAATACTGCTTCAGCATAACGCTGTAGATGATGTCAGTGACTAATGGCACTGCAAATGGGCGATCAGGCAGATTACCTAATGAGCAGCAGCCTTTTCTGCAATCTGTGACTGGCCGGTCATTTGTTAAATGGTGTGCAGGGGTGGGATTTAATGCAGGTGTAACACGGCAATAGGCAGTCATGTTTTCAGTGTACTGAGGAGTGGTAGGCTTCGCGGAGCTTTCAGCAGAGGGTGTGCGGATGGAGGTAGTCACCAGAGCAGTATCCACACAGGGCCAGCAGACTGATTGTGCCAACGGGTGGTGAAGCCCATTTGTTTTACCTGAAGATCTAAGCAGTGAAGCCTTGTCTTGTTCCAACACTTCTCGAGTACCTCTAGGCATTGCGTGGGAAACAAACTCTGTTGTGCGCTCGGATTGGGTTGCTGGGTAAATGGTTTGTAGCGTACCTCCGCTATAACTTGTTTACGTTCTAATTACTGAAGATAAGTCTGAAGCCTGTGAGTGGGAGCTGTAAACCGTATAGATTACTGATGCTGAATGCAGTGAGCTAGGCTCTTTCCAAAATGTGTGAAGGGTAACATTTTTCTGGAGAGTGCAATTAAAACAATTTCTGTCTATGGAGAGTTCTAGCCAAAGATCTTACTACGCACATATTTTTAAAAAATGCTATGAAAAAGTGATTTATATATTTTAAATTACAAATTTATGTCTATTAGCAAACCAATCCAGAAGTATAATGTGCATTTTCTCTTTGTGTTTTCTCCGTGAGTTTACGTGCATGTTGTGAGTTCTAGTGTAGGAGTTTGATAAGAAGGTAAGAGATTTCCTATTCGTGATTTGAGAGTGCTGTGTACAAATTATATTCATGGTGATTTTCACCATGGCAGATTTTCAGTCTGCTGCTGCTTGGGGAAAAAGTATTTACCATTGCTTTATCATGCTATCATTATTATATCTTTGATAAATTCCAAAGTGGATAATTTGTGCCTTTCGGAGGACTGAGAATAATTCCCTTAGCAATCAGTAAACAGATAATGATTCAGTTCAATAGTTCCTGTGATATCTTTTTAATGAAATTTTAAATTGAAATTGGTACCATGGTGAGACTATCACGTGTGAATTGTGCAGAAATTAGAATGATCATTGGGCAAGTCAGGGTGAGATTCCTGTACACTAGGATCAGATTTCTTAAATTAAACAGCTCCTGGTAGCTGGGATTGGAATATCATCAGTGATATTTCCACAAGATCCCCAAATGACTTACGGAGCATTTTCATTTTATCCAGAATGTCTTTTTTTTAATTGTATGTATTTTCATTAATTGTTTTCCCTTTCAGCAGTGAATCTTAATACTCTTGAAACTGCAAAAGTGAATGGTATTGAAGAGGCAAGTTTAATTAAAGCTTCATAATGAATTCACCAGTAGGATGAATTATTTCAATACAGTTCCGTTTTCTGATCATCATTAGCTGCTATTCTCCGCCATTTTTTTGTGTTAGGCTGTTGTGTCCTTTTGCCAG